CATCCCTAATTACGTATATAACCAAGGTTCGAGAAGGCGTTGGACGTTAGGTAAGGTAGGCGTTTCATTATTTCCTTGCGCCTAGCATGCCTAAGTGGTGTCGAGCCTACGCCTTTATAGCATCATTTTCTTTAGTTCAATTCCAAATGTTAATAATTTAGCTAACCCTTAACAATAATCAAAATAAGTAATGACCTAGAATTGAAATTCGAAATCCACAAAAAGAGATGACGTCATTTTGAAAAAATTAGCTAAAATTCTTCTACTCCTTGGTCTACTGGTACAATTAAAAACAATGTACTTTGATTAATAACGCCTAACATCAGTTAATAGTGCCTATTTTTGTATAAGCATTGCAATTGAAGAGACGAATGTTCATCTTTATTTGCTCCGATTTTTGATGGTTTTGCAATTTATATGGCCTTTTTTATACAAGAAATTTATCTGTGTAGCCAAAATTCTCATGTTTATGACAATAATAGTCACTTTTAGCGAAATACTGGAAATAGCCAGAATTTTGAAGGTTCCATGACAAATATAGCAATTTTCGTTACATATTTTAATAACGTCAGTGACACCATTAGTCAAATTAACAGAACGCTTACGTGGTTGCCAACTCACCCAGCACATCATCGACAACTCAACAACACTAGCCACATGGATGCCAAGTCATATTTTATATTTAAAAATAAATGAAAATCATAAAAATACAATAAATTAATTCTTCACTTCATTACTGCCATTTACCAAAAATACAATAATAAAAATCATAAAATTGTCGCTGGTGCTCCCGTCCGCCATTACTGTCGTTTACCAAAAATCCAAAATCCAAGCCCCTTTCTATTCGTTTTCTCACCAGAGACGGAGATGGTCGAGTGAAATAGAGAAGAGGACTCTGCTCTATCCTAAATCATCGCCGCCATCGTGCATCTCTTTCCCCCAATTGAATCAAATCTGGCGTCCGCGCGGGTCTCTGGAGTCTCAAATTTCTTGATGAAGCAATGGGGGAAGAAGGGATCCCTGGGTAAACGAGCAAAACTAAGCATGTATGATGGGATTTCTAGGGGATAATTCCTTAAATACACATAAAACTAAAACAAATTCCTAAATTATCACACTTATAAATTTTTTTTCCCAAAATACCTAAGTTTGTAGTGGTTCGAGTTTGAGGAACACGAACTACTAACCGGGTTGAGTGTAGGAGACTCGATCTAGTCGTAGATCGATGATATAAGCCTCGAACCATGTGACCACTCCTTTGAAATTTCCAACCACCTTAACTTTGTGCTCGGTTATCCGATCGTAGCAAACTTTTTTTTTCATTTCGCATAACTTTTTGAGGACTACAACTTTTATAATAGAAATATTTTCAGAATATATGTGAAAATGTGAAAATTAAAGTTAAAGTTACTCCCAATACCCCTTATATTAAAAATTATTCCTATTTTGAAAGTTTATTCCTACTAAATGTTGTAGTACTCAAAATATTATGCAAAATAAAAAAAATAAAAAACATTGCGACAGTTGGATTACGGAGCACAAAGTTACGATCCCCTAAAGTTTGGCAAAATCGAAAAATTGCTCGTTTAGGGGTAACAAATGACATTTTCTCGGGGCGAAGGCACGAGAAATTTTTTTATATATAGGAAATTTCTGCCAAAAGAGTAATATTTTTCCAAACGAGAAATTTTTGGATGGCTATCTTCCTCGAGAAGGACGTCGGGCAATTGAGCCCAATCGCTGCTCATGTTGGCGGCAGGAGGAGGCGGCAGCGGCGGTGATACTTCCATACTTTCTTTCATAGGGTTGAGTTAATTCGACCGTGGGAGACAATATTCCGTAGAGACGTACATATCTATATTAGTACTATTAGGTTTAGTTACGAGCCCGGCCGGCCAATTTCTCTTAGGAGGTGGATACTCTACTCATCATAGGAGACGGAGAATCTGAGATCATACGTTTTGTACGTGTCCATAATGACTCGAATCAAAAATCGAATCACGTGATACAAATAATGAATTTTAGCAGGAAAGAGAAATGAATGATGCAACGAATCAAAAATCGGCCTTCTGAACCAAAATCAAGTATCTGTTACCTTGTGAAACAATATTGTTTCTGGTAATGTGATGAGGTGGAGTAAGTTTTATAGAAACCGAATTCCAGAAAATCGAATAAAAATCATCTATCTCGTCGGTTTTCGGGAAATGAGCATCTCACAATCGTTGCTAGCTTTTACTCGGCCCGTTGGCTGGTTAATTTGCTTTATAAAACTTTTATCTTGTCGTCATTGTGCTTTTTGGTTTTTGCCAGGCCATGATAAAATCTAAAAAATCAAGAACGAACAACACGATTTGGGATAGGAACTGCCGTTGTCGTGTCCCTAGAAAATGGTGGTAAACACGGACTCACCTGCCAAACTGATTTGAATTGAGATTTTTATCGAGTATCAGGGAACCATGTGATTATAAATTAGACTTGATCAAAACGGGCCAAAACTTGAAATTCAGCCTGTTTGACCGACCCATGCCAAATTTTAATTATTCTTTACTTTTAAACTTTCTATTTGAAAATAAAAAATAGTGAAAGAAAAGAGATGACCGCAATTCGCCATTTGCACATAACTTATTTGGGAATAAAACCATAGAAATTCAAAAGGAACTGAAAATGTTTAGGATCGTTTTAATGTTTAAAATAACAAAATAGATCTTTCTATTTAGTTTTTTACTAACTAATACCAAACGATTCCCTATAAAATACACTATAATTTGATCATTATGATATCAAATAATTATATAATATATATTTGAAATGATAAAAATTGGACTAATTGGGTTGGTCGAGGTTGAACCATTGAATAACTTTAAAATACATTATATTTTAGCCACTAAGATATAAAATAATAGCATAATTTATATTATGCCAGAGAAAATAGCTTGTTTTAGAATGAGAAACCAATGATCTTCATTTGTTTTACTTGCTGGCCAAATTCCGTGTAGGTCAGGCTCATTCAACTCTTTTATTTTATGGTTAGTGGTTAGCCCATTAGATACCATGCATTAGTTTATTGTTAAATTATTTATTTTTAGCAATAAAAAAGAGTATTTTTTTTTGCCTTTTCATATATATTTTATCACCACGGAGAAATAAAAGAGATTAAAGAAAAAATTGACACTCCTGGACCCGTTTAAATCCGCATGTGTACGGTAAGTTGGCCGGTTCCACAGAAGAAAGAGAAAAAAATTGACACTTCCTATTCTACCCTTCCTACAAAAGCTCATGGAACAGGGAATTTGAAATGGGGAAAGAGTTTTTTCCTCCCTGCTATTATATGTTTTTAATTTAAAAAGATACAACAAATCTACTTAGTGTGATTGGTTATGATCCTTGTTTTTCTTTAAAATGGTCATGGTTCGAATCCCAGTACGTGTCTTTTTAATGAATAATGTCCTTCATACTTTCACTCTCGTTGTAGGTAGGAAGGAAATTTGAAATGGAGCTCCCGTTTTTCCCTTTGGTGTATTATAATATGTGTAGATAGATTATCCCGATTTCTGGGTAGTTGAGAGACGCCAGAGACGGCATCGCCTTTGATGAACCACTTTCTGGCGCCGCCGCTAATCGCTTCCCCACCGTCGCCCCTTTGTCTGTTTCGCCTCCGTCGAATAACCTTCATCTTATGCCTTCCGCCGTCGCCGCTAGCCGCTTCGAGTTTCACAAATCTAGAACAGCCCCATCCATCGTAAGCAAATCAACCTGGGTTTTCAATTTTGCGTTCCTAGGAGGTTTCTCGAACCCTCTCTATTTCTCTTTGTTCTGTCTTTGTTCGCGCCCATAAAGCCACCGGCGGAGAGCGGATTGAAGAAATTGTAGAGCCAATGTCGTTGTTGGAGTTTGTGATAGATCGATAGCGGCATTACGGTTTCAATTTCTGGATATGTGATTTTTCAAGGAGGAAGTCTGGTGCTTGTTGCTCTTCCTCAACAATATGATTGAGCGCATCCTCGTCTTCCCAGCTCTCGAGCTTCTCCTTCTCTCTCTTCCCCAACCGCCGCGATCCCGTCCGACAGATCCTCTTGTTCAGTTTTGAATTCTCTCAAACTAGAACTACCAGCTTCAACGACGAGGGTTTTTTTTTTTTACAATAAACGACAAGGGTAGATGGTGAACAGGCGGAGAAGAGATGGCATTTTTTTATTTCTAGGGTTGGGAAATGCTCGTCGGTGCCACCACTCCGCTACCCACTATGCCTCGCCGGAGAAGATATGGCTTTTTTTTTGCTTCTAGGGTTGGGACTTGGGAGGTTGATATTAAATTGAAGGGTGATAAATTTCTGCGGGGTAGATGGTGAACAGGTGGTGGTGGTGGGAAGTTTTTATTGTTTTTGTGATTTTTTTATTTAATTTGATTAAAATAAAAGGATAATATTTTGATTATTTTCCACCTAACATTTTTTTAATAAAATATGCCACGTCAACCGTTGTTGTTAGTCTAGTCAGTCCATTAATTCACACCGTCAAAGAATCGGACAAAGGTGGCTATTTTTGGTATTTTTCCCAAAGTGGCTAGATTTGGCTAAACCGTCAAAGTTTTTGTATATTGTTCATTCGGACCGATTCAACTGGATGGTACGACATCCCTACAAGCAGCTAGATGGTACTACTTGTCTACTTGCAACTGAACAGACGATTGTTCTATCTTTATTTGCTCCGATCTTTTATGGTTTTGCAATTTATATGACCTTTTTTTTATACAAGAAAAAATTTAAAAGTTGAATTGCTAGCCATATAAAAAAGGATAAATGGAGCTTTAGCCATAGCTCCCTAGATTTCAATCTAAAAAATGATTCTTTCGTTGACGTTACCGGTCATATAAAACGACTTTGAGTTATGATCAAGGTTGTCTATTTGCAGGCAAATCGATCAGTCGGACCAATTCATCTTGAACCCAATGACCTAACTGGGCATCATTAATCTTGTAGGATGTATTTGGCCCCCAAAAGACATAAAGAACCCAATATATTCATCATCACCAGCTTTGTTGTATACAATAGAACTTACGTATATAGTACTGAATACTGTACAAACAGTGCTAGACTTTGGTTACAATCTTTTACATAGAGAAGTATATCACATATACTAGAGCACCGTGATAGTGTTGATTGATGAGAAATGCACATTGGCTGTGTTGCATTAAAGGGTTGGAAAAGAGGAATCCATAGCGATCCCGCATAGACCTTCCTTGGCATCGATGTCTCTCAGCATCCTAATGTACCCTTTCTCACCCCAAGTGGTTCCCCACGAGTTTTTGACCAACCAATATTTGGTTCCGTTACTGGTCTGACCATACCCAACCGCGGTAACCCCGTGGTCAAGGTTCGTCCCACAGTCCCCTGAAAACACCCCGCTGGAATAGAACATGAAGGAACCATCCCCTGCATCCACCGACACCGAAATCGGCTGGTTGGCCACTGCCTTCAACAATGCTTCCTCGCTGTTGGCAGGGACCTTCTGGTAGCCGGTGATTCTGGCGATGTGGGAGCTCTCCTTCTGCGAATTGCAAGTTCCATCGGTTCCCTGGTAAGGGTAATTGGCTTCGGAGGTGATCCCGTGGTTACCAATTATGAACTCGAAAGCATTCTCCATCTCCCCTCCATTGCATCCTTGGTCGACACTCTTGGTATCGCAATCGACGAGTTCTTGCTCGGAGAGGGAGACCAGCTTCCCGGTGGATAGCTGGTTGATCCCTTCGGTGGCACCTATGGCGGAGAAGGCCCAGCACGAACCGCACTGACCTTGGTCCTTAACGGGAGTCACGGCTCCTTTGGTGCGCCAGTCCATTGTGGCGGGGACGTCCTTCACGTTTTCATACTTGAATGGCTTCGTCGTTGTTGCGGCGGCGGCGCCGTGCAGCTTGTGTAGTAGGAGTGGCTTTCTGATGAGACGGTTGCGGGAGGACTTGAACTCTTCCACCGTCTGGTCCGCAAATTTGTTGATTGCTAGCTTGTAAGGCTTGGTACCTGCGGCATTGAAGGATTCGATGTATTCGACGTTGTTCTTGAATATGTTGAAGCGTGTTTGTTTCTCCGCGGCAGTTTCGTATGCTATGCCGTGTTGGTTCATCCATTGCTGGTGCCTTTGAGCCATGTTGTCGGGCTGGGATCCATGGAGCTCTCTAGACGCTGCAAGCTGGGAGACCCATATTCCGATGATGAAAAGGATTACTAGTGACGGTTTGCTGAGGAAGAAGGGAGCTGCCATTTTGTTTCACTGTTTGTTGTTTTGAGAAAGTAGGATTGAATGGCAGGGGATGTGGGGTGGTGTATTTTGATGGATACAGGGGAAGTGGAGGCTCTTATATAGTTATAGTTGTTTAGCTCTGTAATGTGCACACGCAGTTGCAAGATATTGATGTTGAAGTCGCCGGCTGTTGTACGCTGGTGTTTTGGATTTTCCATTGGCCGCATGCAGTCCCTCGGAGTGAACGGCAAATCTCTGATGGACGGAGATTCGTCGATGGTGATGGACTCTGTTTTTGCCTTACTAAGGAGGGAGGTTGACTGTTTGTGTGTTTGAACTTACACCACGCGATGTGTTTCCGTTCATAGCAATTTCTCGCTATTTTCTCTTGTTCTTTTCAATTCGAACGCCGATCACAATTTTGGGCATTGCTGGGCGATGTGTTTGAACGGGATTTCACGCATCGGTGATTTCGAGTGATTTAGCGAAAGAACTAAAAAACACGATAAAATAGCTACTTTTTTCTACTAACTACTAATACTTTATTCATCGACTTAATAAAACGAAGAGCAAAGGTACATATTTATAGGACTAATCCTACAAACCCCTTTTCTCTTAAGACAAGGAAACCCAAACCTAAAGCAACAAGTAAACGAATACTTCCTAAACAATATACATTATAATAATCCTAGACCCAAACTAATATGAATAACCCGAATAATAACCGAATATCCCAACAAATAATAATAAAACAACAACAACAACAACAACAATAATAATGGGCTCGGCCCAAGATGCTGTCACGCATCAATCCTCCCCCCTTTTAAGAACTTCGTCCCCGAAGTTCAAGCGCCATCCCAACCCGGATCGATGAAGAAGAATCGTTCCCACTTGTTGATGACTATGAAGAGAACATCTCCCTGTCGACGCCAACCTCACTTACGAGATTTCCAATTAGGCTCGGGCACTCGAACCATGCTCCTATCACCGAATGCCATCAAATCCTCCTCTTCGCTCCACTCGAGCTTCCTCGCTGCCCAAGCATACATCAACTCCCAACTTCGTGTGTTTGAATAACCCTCATCGATTCTTAATTGCAACTCTGCATACATTAATTTGTCGGCCCTCCAATCCTTCTCTTCCACACACACTTCCAAAACAACACTTCCATTCACCCCATGCATTCTACGTACAGGCTCACAATAATGGGCTCTTTTCATACCCATTTTTATTTCATGACATCCTTGCAAATCACAAGTAAAACCCAATCGCCACTCATCCTGCACTTCCACGTTATCTCCACCTTCAACTCCTCGCAGGCTGAGAGTTCAATTATACTCATCAGTCGTATTCCTTTCTTCACAAGATTTCCAGAAGTCCGACGACGCATTCTTGCATCGCAAAATGGCTTTAATATCATCACAAGCAGCCATGTTTCTCGTCGATTGGATAGAAACTTCTGAACCTAACGAACCAATCCCCTATAATAATGCTCCGGTTAGCGCACCCATGCTCGGTCCAATGCATCCCGGAACCAATCCATGTCGCAGCGGTCCACACGAGACTCCTCTTAGACTCGATCCTGCTTCAGTGTCATACCCACCATTCGGACGTAACTGCAACAACTCCTTTATCCCATGCCTACGACCCTGCGGAGAGGAAGAATCCATCGTGGCGACGTCGATGGCAGCCTTACATTGAGTTGTCATAACCATTGACGACTCCTCGCAATCTCCCCTTGCGGCGCGGCCTGGCGGAACAGAAGCTCCCGGCAGCAATGGTGGAGCAGACGGCAGGACATCGACTGGAACAGCTCCATCTTCATCCTCGGCATCCAATGACTCATTGGTGGCTTCGGTCACATCAACGACAATGGCATCGTGTCCTTTCTTCCTTTTCTTCCTACCATAGAAGCGCCCTCGGTGGGATCGGGTCTTGGAACGTCGGCGTGGTGGTCACCTCCAAGGGAATACCCTCGATGGTTAGGGTTCCAATAGACGGCGGCGGTGGCGCGATGATCCTTGACGACGGCATGCTTGCTGGCGCGATGGCGGGGACGACAACATCAACGGCAGCGGAGACTCCCTTTAGCTTTGACTCCCATGAATCTCGCGCTTGAAGACTCGGCTGACCCCCTCGATTGCGGCATCCAGTCTTTCGCGGCTTGACGTCATTATCGCGCAAACTCCCGTCGGCAGCTGTACCTTCATTGTCTGGATTAATGGCTCCTTGCAACGTGACCCACGAGCCCTTATCTTTGAAACGCATGGTGGCGTTCCTCCAATCAAAAGATATAGGACTTGCGTGCTTAAGCCATTGACCACCGAGAACGACGTCAACTCCACGTAGTGGTAGCTCGTACAAGTCGACCTGAATTTGTACCCCTTGTATCTCGATTGGTACCACTTCGTAGCATCGTTGGCACAATAGGGAATCTCCATTAATTACCTTAACTTCGAAAGGCGGAATCGCCGTAGCTCGGAAGAACAACCTCTCGGCAACTTCGTAACTCACAAAATTGTGCGATGATGCACTATCGACGAAGGCAGCAGCTGGTTCTTGACGGATGGTGGTGTCGAAGCGGATGATCGTTGGCTTGGAAACGCCTTTGAGAGCAGATGAAGATGAAGCAGAGAGTGGAGAGAGATTTCAATTAGATGGTTAGATTGTGGCCTTGTGGGGAAGTGAAAATTGGATGATCGGGTTTGAGGGGGACTGATGGAGGAAGGTACGGCGGGGAGTAGACGGAGGGGAGCCGTCGGTGGGGTTTCAATTTTTTTAATTTTTGCTAATTTAATTGTAATAATTCAAAATTAAAAAATATGTATAAATTATGAATATTTTAATGATTTTTATGATGACCGGACGGTGAAGTGGTATGTTAACCGTGAGTCAATGCGTTACACCGTCCAAGATAATGGTCAAACATCGGGTTTTGCCAATGTCGTTACTTTGATGTATAGTTTGGGTTAGGATGTTATAGATCGAAAAGATTGGGCAAAATGTTTATTATGTTCAAAGTTCAGGCCATACAAATATATTAACCCTTAAACTTATGTTCTTTTATTTAAATTTTTTATATTTTTTCATGATAATTCGATTCAAACATTTTGATAAAAATTTCATCAATTTTTGGGATACTTTTCTATATTTGAAATGATTAGTTAATGACTTTAATTAATGGTATCTTCTTTGGTCAATTGTTGGTTTACTCATGCCAGTCATCTATCTATATCTATCTATCTATTCTATTCTATACTATATATTAAGGCAATTCAAAAGCAATCTCTTGCCACATAAGCACTTGGAGGATCCACAATTTGCCAAGTTGTACAACTTTTTTACAAACAAAAAAATTAGTTATTAATGTATTTATGAAGCTACATCTCTCTTCTTTAATATTTCCATTTCTTTTAACCTTGTGTTTTTTTTTTTTTTTGCTTTTATAGTATGTTACATGTTGATAAACTTAACCAAACACACATAAATAATAATTTTTTTGTCCAGTAAATAAAATATAAATAAGAAAATAGAAGGTAACATATACCACATTTGTTTAAATAAAAAATATATGATTAACCCTTATGAAGTAATTTTTTTACTCATTTTTACTAAAATTGAATGATAAGTTACATTTTTATGGAAATTAGACAAACATACACATAAAAAATAATTTGTTTTCGATTAAAAAAATTTATATGAAAAGAGAGAAAATAAACATTTGACATTCAATTACCTATGAAAAATAAACTATATTACTTTATATTTTGTTGCAATGAAACACTCTCTTATTCGTAAATTATATGTCTATAAAATAAAATAAGTATTATTTAGCAAAATATCAGAGTATAATCTTGATCGAGTAGTTATAATTATTTATTTAAAAAAGACTTTTTATTCCTCACATCATGTTCTACCTTAAACTCCTCAAATGAAGAGAAATTGCATGCGCAATAATTTTATAATGTGTCCTAAGTTCACATTAATAATATTTGTTCTATATCATGTTGATTGAGCAAGCTCTATTGAGGTCATAAGTTGTATGCTAAGAAATTTTCTTTCAGACTTGGACTGATCGTCAACGACTATAAATACAAATTTTCAAAATGACTTAAGTATGATTGTTGACGAACTTTGACTTCATACCCTAGGATGAGACACAAGATTCCTTAAAATAAAAATATAAAGCAATGTTAGAGAATCTTTGTTGAGAATCTACGATAAACATCGCGTTTCATCAACTACTAACCTAGACATTTAGCAAATAAAAGTTGGCAATTTTTAGTAAAATAGTCAATTGGGATAAACATATTTATCCAACAATCAAGTATCTTTATCCAGTAATCTCAACTCTCAAAATTTGTTGCCAGTTCGTCCAAACTCGAGAAACACGAATTGATATATGTTGTATAGATAATAAGTTAATGCAAATAATCGAATAAAATCCACCGATATTGTTCAAATGATAAGACATTTTAAATGCAGTTGAAATATGTGTGTATTGAAGACACTCTTTATCAAATATTAATATATAAGTGATAAAATCTTTGAAAATTACACATTCAACGACCATGTTAAGACCAAAATCCTCGATAGTGTGTGCGAGTGTCTTAGATTGAGATTCTAAGCCAACATATAAACAATGACCACGGGTTGAACTTCAAAAATTAACAATTGATACATATTGTATGATATACTAAATTTAAGTGTCTTGATAGAAAAAAAACTAACATCCAAAATGGAAATAAGTCGAGATTATAGAATTTAATCATCACGAGGGCTACGGTGTATGTCAAGTTTCAATATGGATGAATAAATTGATCCAATAATGAAGTATCTTTACTAGGAATGTCTCACTATAAAGTCCTAATCTTTACAACATTGGTCAAGAGTTCGTCCAAACTTGAGGATCATCAATGTGTATTGGATTTCCAAAGGACCTAAAATCTCAATCCCTTTCGGGGGCTAAATACCTATGATCACAACCATAGGGGTCAAAGAAGAATGAAAAGAAGAAAAAAAAGAACATAACCTCCGATACGATGAACAGAATAAAACCATATCGAGCTATGATCCTTTCATCCCTACCCTTTT